TGCAGGATTGAGTTTAAGACCATTTAACGTAGCATAATCAAAAATAACATTCGCATCCCTTGAAATCAACTCAAGACCGTGAAGAATGTCAGCGCGAGTACATTGGAGATATATTTGTACATCATCCGCGAATATCATATGATAAACAAAAGACAGGGATCCACCTATATCACTGATGTAAAGAGCAAATAGAAGTGGGCCAAGTACAGAGCCCTGAGGGACGCCAGTCGACGTGAAAAGCCACTCAGAAAATTTACCCTCATCGTCGAATACAGCTTGAGAGCGGCCAGTAAGGTAAGAAAAAATCCACGCGAGAACCCCATCAGAAAAACCGATTTCTTTCAGTTTGATAAGCAAACGAAGATGTGGGACCGTATCAAACGCTTTACTAAAGTCGAATAGAATCATGATTGTAATGAGTCTTTTATCAATTTCCATTCTAATGTCGTCACAGACACGTAATAGAGCAGATTGCGTATTGAAACCAGAACAATACGCAGACTGTCTGGGATTCAGCAGGTTGTGTTCGTTCAAATAGTCGGTGATTTGTGGGGCCACCATGCGTTCAAGAATTTTTGACATTTCAGGAAGGTTAGCAATAGGTCGCGTATCAGACGGTGACAGTGGAGTGCGAATCTTTGAGAGAAGGCGAATCAACGGACGTTTCCATGATGAAAGAAATACGGAAGCTTCAAGTGAACGATTGAAAAGAGGAATGAGCCACTGAGAAATAACAGGCCAATCAATGCGAAGAACGTAAAGCGGGATGCCATCATAGCCAGACGCATAAGAGTGAAGAGGTCCATTAAAGATGAGCTTATAAACCGAGTCCGGCTGTATAGTAGAGAAAACAAATTCAGGACGTTGAGAAGTACAAGAAACTGAGGCAATGGCAGAAATAAAGTTAGCATATGTGCAAGGCAATACCGTACTAGACACTGAGACATAGTAAGAGTTAAGTTGATCGGGTGTGAAAAAGCGAAGAGGAGAAACCGACGTAGATTTAACCAGTCTCAAACGAGCAAGTTCTCTCCACATTTTAGCGGAGTCAGTAATATTGGTAAGAGAAGCCAAGTGAAACTCACTTTTAGCACGTTTGATGTCGTTGTTAAGCTGGTTGCGAAAGTGACGGTATCTAGCATAACCCAGTAGACTGCCTGAACGTTTGGCCAGCTTGTACAACTGATTGCGAGTACGGAGCCGGCATCTCAATTCGTCCGTAAGCCATCGAACAGGAGGCTTCCTGATCACGGACACACGGGCAGGAGCAAAAACATCAAGTGCTTCAAGTAAGGTACCAGACAGCCAGGAACAAAGCTCATCAACATTAGAAAAGCAGCCCTCCACAGTCTGAACGTTAACAGCAATGGCATCAAGATGTTCAAGGAACGCGGAGACGTCAATGCTCCTGTAACCACGTCGCAGAATAGATTGATCAAAGTCAAGCTTACGATCAAGTGAGTACGACAATTCAAGTAGATCGTGACCGGCGACGAATGGACTCAAGGATTTAACATATGCAAGAACCTTATCACTATCATCAACAACTAGAACATCCAGCCACGAGTCAGAAGTAGCAGTATGAAAGGTAGCATCAGAGTTGAGGATGGTCAAGGATAAGCCTGACATTAGCTCGCGCAAGTAATTCGCCTCATAACAGTCGGTTTTGCAACAAAAGATTGCAATTTAGATCACTGCCAATAATAATATTTTTATATAAATGAGAGACACCAGTGAGTAATTCAACAAATTCATTTAAAAGAGTGCCCTTAGGTCTCCTATATACCGACACGAACAATACTGCTTCATCACTCGGCAAACGAATTTCAATCATGATATATTCCGGAGCATTGAACTCAATCCCGATAGAGGTTGCAATTAACCTGACTTTTAACGAATTATGCACGTAACAAGCAACGCCACCGCCCACACGCCCCACCCGGTCACGACAAACCAGAAAGTAGCCATCCAAAGCCATAAGATCGTCCGACACACCCACATGAAGCCATGTTTCAGATACAGAAATTATGTGATGAGAATTAGTACTAAAATGTAAGCGAATAATGTAGATATGCCCACGTAGGGAATTGGCGTTAAACTGCGCAATGCGGAGCGAAGAAGGATTACATGCTGAGTCGTGTCGGACAATCGAAGGCAACGGACGAGCCAGCGAGACACGTCAGACGAGCTTAGCGAGATCAGCGTCTGAGTCAATGCGGATAATGGGCTGTCCGTCGGAAGACCTTACGCATATATGGCCATTTTTGACCCAAACAAACTTATAAGAGTTCTTCCCAGCAATACGCTTGACTCGCTGTAGCAAGTCATACGTGAACTTAGGAAGCAGTACATTTACATATACATATCGATCGGAACCAGCATCACATATATCCCGCTGTTTAAGAGCACCTTTTTCACGCTATTTCGAAATTATGGTATCGCACATAGTACTAGAAGCAAGAGTGACAATCATCGAGCTCGACGCTGCAGACGCCTTGGAACGGCCCTGAGTAGCAGATGGTGCTCTGCTGACCATTCTCACGCCAAGAACGTGACAAACCAAGTGAGGTACATTCAATGCCGCAAGTACATTTTCAGTGAGTTTTGCAGGAGTAACGGATGTCGTCGATGGCAAGCCGGATATAATAAGCTCATTACTCAAATGAGCGTCGTGAGTTGACCGAGCAGACTTAAGATCACGGATTTCACGAACAAGATTGGCATTGTCTAGCTCTAATTGCGCGATGCGCTGACTATTTTCAGCTACAGTATCAGTAAATCGATTTAAGCAATTAAGTTTATCATTGAGCTCTTTATTGGTACGTTGCTGACAGTCAATGAAAGCAGAAAGCTTAGCATCCGTCGCCTTCACCTGCTCAAACAACCCACGCAAAAGCTCATTTGTAGAATCATGCGCGGCACCGCTCGCAGTATCGCGCGTAATAAGATGCGCCTGCGCGCCAGAGTGCGCGGCACCGACAACAACAGACGCGGTGTCACCCAAAACGGTAGGAGAAAACGTACGGCGTTCATCCCTTGTGATCAGCATACTCGACAGCTGAGATTTGCAACAGTCACCAGCAGCTTTCGTGATTAAGTACGATTTGACACAACCCGGATGAAACTCCCTAGCGCATACACTACAGAAGACGGATTGACCAGCGATTGTTTTGGTACACTTGATGCACACTCGCTCGCGCTGCATGAGTATCTCAGAATAAACTATGTAACTATAAGCTAGTTACAAGAGCGCAAGGTTCGCAACAGTTCGCAACAGTGTCACTCGACGCAATATCACCAGAAAGTCATCACTAGTGTCGAACTATAACCAATCAGGCAAGGTCGTTCACGCAGATCATCGCAGGCACCACTCAGATAGCTGCATGCACACGTCCGACCAGAGGAAAGTAAAGCGCAGGAAGAGCAGATCGACAACGCATGCGCAGCAGGAGTCGACGTATTTTACGGGTAACTCCGAGAATTCCACGATGATTCCGAAAACAAGGTTAAGACAAGAAATGAAGCTTGTCACGAAAATACTCGGAATCAGGTGGCAATCTCCAAGAAAGCGAATGAGGCGCGTAACAAGCAGACAAAAGACTTGCTTAAATCTGCAACAAAAAGGCCCGGAGGCAACTTACGGCAGAAACAGCTCCAGATAGCACGGAGAATTGAAAAAGAATTCTTTTTAAAAACCCGATTTTTAAAATGTATTCTTTTCCCATATATCATTTCTGTTCTAAAAGAATTCTTAAGAGTTCAAAAGAAGTTTTTTCCGTCACCAGTTCTGAGTTCTTCTTCAGATACAAAAAAAATCACTTTTCTACTCCATAAGAATTCGTAATGTATTCGAAATTATGTTTAGACAGTATTCTAATAGAACTCTATTTAAGCACTATTTCGAATGCATTGCGATTTCTCATAGAATAGAAAAATAATTCCTTTGTATTTGAAGGATAAGAAAAAATCCTTCATAATCTATCCAAAAACAGTTTCTACATTAGAAAGGACATAAAATGTACTAATCCATTTTATGTTCTTTCTGATGCAGAAACTGTTTTCGGATAGATTATGAAGGATTCTTTCTTATCCGATGTTACAGGCAGTATATTAGGATTATAAACACTGAAATTAGGAATATAAATATAGGAAATATAAAATATAAGTATCCATGATTCAGGTATATCAATTAATGATTATATTACTAAATTGGTATACAGATTTGAAATATTGTAAGTATCATATTGTTATAACAAACGATTTGTATAATATGAGCGACATATTTATCGTACATACAGACATGCGTAAAGTATATATGCAAAATAATCAATGTATAATATGATATTACGAAAATATAAAAGTGTCCCGAAAGAGTGATCGAGTAACGATTCGAAATTCTACAAACATATTGTTACTTCGCAGAAGCAGCGACGATCGTTGTATTTCGGAATTCGGTCGCACTTCCGCGCGTCCCGTTAATGCTTCATCGGATGAGAGTCTTTAGCGATTGGAAGGAAAACATAAAAGTAGAATATAATTATACGAATAGCGGTGAGCAACGCATGAGCTTTTTCGCTGGGGCAACAAGGCGAGTTTTGGAAAATTGATCGTGTTTAATTAGATAATTTATGTCCCGAGCGGTATACGCGTCCAGCACATTTACACGCGATTACATTGTAACGTTTATAACACGAAAGCGGACTCATTGAGTTCCGTCGAGCGGCCGATGCAAAATAATTAATGTGTAATAAAACAAAATAAAATTAAGTTTTCTTTTATCTTAAATCAAAATTAAACTCATTTTCATACCGTTACAAATAATACGTACATCATCGCTTGTACAAATCGAGCGAGATAAAAGTTGAAAATAGCGCCAAAAATGTGCTTCCTGAATCTATCTATAATATAATCTAGGTCCTTTTTTTTATCCGGTCACTAGCGTGCTGCAGCCACTTCTTAACAAATATCCCAATGTCGTTCTTAGGAACTTCTTTATTTTCGAGATGGTTTCTGCAACATAATGTTTTGTAAGTATAGGTATATAGATATTGTAAAAGTTAAACATTAATATTTGGTAATCTAAAAACTGAAGAAGAAAATGTTGCTTATTAACTCACCGACAATGAGTTAAGAAATTCGAGTAGTTTGAAATTTTAATGTGTTTCTTTGACCGGACCAAAAATACTTTATTGCTAGCTGATTCGACATTAAGAGGCGCAATGTGGCTCTGGTGAATTTGCCTGCATCAGATCCGCCGATCATCTTTATCTCATTAATCTGCAAAAATAAAGGCAAATATATCATTACAATTTGAGCATTTGTATTTTAAAGAAAAGTATGACAATTAAATAATCTCTTACGTAGAATTTTTGTACTTCCAAGGACTCGACAAGATTTCGTTCAAATTCTTCAACAGTTTGCAAAGGAAAGTTAACGGTTTGCATTTACTGGAGAGAGTTCACATTTATCCGAATTTGTAGACTGATAAATTAGATGGTGGTAACACAAACGAGTTTACAGTATTATCTCCTTTACATATCTCTTCGGTTACTGCAAAATATATTATATTTAGTTACGTATATTTATGTTGCTATTTTTTAAAATAAATTTTATCGGAAATTTACTTTACATTACCTTCTTCTTCTTCTTCTTCTTCCTCCTCCTCCTCCTCCTCCTCCTCCTTCTCCTTTTCCTCTTCTTCCTCTTCTTCTACTTCTTCTTCTACTTTTTCTTCCGACGCCAACGTTTCGTTTCGAAGGGTCGCAATAGGGATCAGGACGGTGGCGGTGAGTCAGCGAGACAAGATTTGTTAACGAAACGATATATTCTTAGTCTAAATTATGTACATTGTGTTTGCGTTGTCTTAGGCGGCGCCTTGTAGGCGCCTAATCAAAAAATATGAGTGCTAATGCACGGTTTTAAAAGTTAATTTGGCGGATGGCCTTCGTTGCAAGAGGCTCAGAGGGGACCGAGTTGTTATTGAGGTCAATTTTAGAGCCCGGGGTGCGCGGTGGCTTGTCCGTCGGTTGATCCGGTGGGTCCGCTGGCGATGAAGGAGCCAGGAAAGCTTTCCTGAGCACCGTCTGACACGCTGTGGTTCGCGTCTCCTTGACGCGGATCAGGTGGAGGGCCGGTGGCCGAGAGATGCGGCAATCCCGTTTCGGGAGCGTCATGGCTCCTGCACACAGGGCGCGGCAGCGCGGCATTGCGGCAACGCGGCACCGCGGTAACCAATTACCGTCTTGCCTTTCCGTTCTACTTTTGAAAGTAGTACGGAAAGGCAGATGGTGATTGGTTACCGCGGTGCCGCGTTGCCGCAATGTCGCGCAGCCGCGTCCTGTGTGCAGGAGCCATCAGTCCGGCTGGCCTGGTGCGGTGCACCTCCGGGAGCTCCAATGGTATGAGCTTCCACGGACGTATCGCTTGTCCCTTGTCCAACTCCCGTCTTGTTGCCTGCCGCTCCTGCGGCACTGGCTGGTTGGCCAGACGAGATTGCACAAGGGCCGGTGGCTCTTGGTGCCGCTCCTGCGACACCGGTTTAGCGGGCTCCGCCTCCTTTGTGTGCCGCTCCTGAGGTACCGGCGGGTAGGAGAAGCGCTTCCGTCGTCTCTGGCTCCGCGTCCTGGTTCGGCACCTCTTCCTTCTGGTCATGGTCGGAGTGGGGCCACTCCGCGCCTCCGCTTCCACTGTGCCGGGCCCGGAAGGGGCGTCAGACTTGGAGGGGGCCACGGTCTCCACGATGGCTCCACAGGAGTGCAATGAGCGGAGGGGAAGTCTCTCGACGCTCGATAATTACTGCGCGGAGGAGATGGAATCTCACTCGACGCGGCAAAAGATATAATTTCGAGTCTCTCAACGCTTCCTCAAGGCGAGATCGCCGAGTATAGCGGTAGGATTCGATGCTGGTCTGTGCGCGGCTCGCCTTAAATTGCTACTCGAACGTACTTTAAACGCGAGTAATTGTACGTGAGCCGGTGACGCGCCGCGGCGAGCCGCGCAATCTGATAAGCGCGTGTTGGCCGGGCGCGCATTTGTCAGGCGCGCGCGGCACATGTTCGACTTCTCGAACAGATGCCTTAATAGCTTTGTCACACATGTCATCAGTATCTTCATTTGTAGATATGTTCATGCAGTGCTCTTCTACTTGATTAGCTAATTGAAAAGACTCTGCAAAAAGTGTTAATTTTCATTTGTGTACAGTAAGTTAATATTTTCTAAATATTTAACATTCTTGAGAAAAACGCACTAAAAGGTCCCAAACGTTTACGGCATTCGTATATAAGCCAGTCATCTT